TCTCTCTCTCTCTCTCTCTCTCTCTCTCTCTCTCTCTCTCTCTCTCTCTCTGTTCTGTTTCTAGCTCCAAAATGTCCCTGGTACCAAGCATGGCTGTTTGTATTCCATCCCATCCTTTCCTTGATGAGTTTTGCCCAATCAGGGTGGAAGTTTACCTTGGTTGCCAAGGGGAACCACGCTCTTTAGTTATCTATTCACCATCTTTGAAGTTCACCACCACTGTGAAAGTTACTTTGCATTAGATTCTAAAGGGGTGCTCATTAACTCGATTATGCTGGCAGAAAGAGTTCTAACCAAGCTACTTTGAAGAGAAACTTTTCTCCCTTCTTGAATATTTTAGACATATTTTGTAGCACAGAACTGATTAATTTTTAAAGGAAATTACATAGTGTTTTTCTTACAAGGGGGAAAAACAGATTGAAGGAAAGAAGGGAAGGAAGGAGAAAAGGGAGGTTGGGAGGGAGGGAGACTGGGAGGGAGAGAGACTACCTGAGCACAGAGAAAGATTGGGATGAGTAAGTGAAGGAACCATCATGGATAACTTCCTCTTGGAGATGCTCTTAGCTGATCACTAATCATTTTTGAGAAAGTACGTCAAACTATCAAAGCTATGTTTTATAAAATATCCCAACAAGTGACTTCATAATCAACTGTTGGTCCTTAGTCCTTTTTTCATTTCTCACCAAGGCCACCAACACTTCACATGCCCCTTCTCTGCCCAGGATCATGGCTCATGACACGTGACTCATGACATGTGAATGATGTGCTATCCACCTTCTCTGCTTGTGACCCAGAACCTGTCCTAATTCCCTCTCTTGATCAAATCCAGAAACCCCAGTGAAATATATATATATATATGTGTGTGTGTGTGTGTGTGTGTGTGTGTGTGTGTGTGTGTGTAATGTGTGTTATATATATTTAATCTCCCACTGATGAAGATCCTATTAAACTTGGAGATGTAAATATAGTTTGATGTAGAGCTTGAATAGGGCAGGGAGAACACCAGCTAATATCTGACCACAGAAATAGCCATGCATGTGCAGACTCCTGGTCTAGATCACAGACAGCAGCAGCTGAGTCAGTTCCATCCCTGTACAAAACACTGAGTCGAGCTGTATGATAGAACACAGGATTCAAACACACAGTACCCACAGTGAATTACAGAGGGAACTGGGGAAAGAGACAGCTCAGTCATTAAAGTACCTGCTCTGAGAGCTTAAGAGTCTAAGTGTGGATCCCCATAAAAGATAACCCTGTGTCTATATCCCCAGTGCTGAAGGCAGGGAGCAGAGCGGTGGGTCCTGGAGCCTGATAACTAGCCAGCTTGATAGAATTGATGAACTCCAAGTTCAGAGCAATGCCCTGTCTCAAAACGTAAGTTGGAAGGCTGGCAAGAAGGCTCAGTGAGTAAAAGGCACTCACCACTGAGACTGACGGCCTGAGTTCAATCTCTAAAAGGAGAGAGCAGGCTCTCTCTCAGTTATTTTCCTGAACTCTACTCACTAAGTTGGCACACTTGACTGCATCCCCACAAAATAAATGAAAATATGATTTAGAAATATTTATTTTTATACATATGTGCATGACTGTTTTGTGTAGTGACATTTCTTTTTATTTAATAAATAAAGCTTGCCTAAGGATCAGAAAAGTAAAACAGCCACACTGGCCAGCCTTACAGACTAGACAGTAATGACACACACCTTTAATCCCAGTAGCCACATTTGTTTACCATAGAAATCAGGCAGTAGTGGTTTAATCCCAGCCCTAGAGAGGGTTATAAAATGGAAGGAAACAGCTCTTAGTCACAGTTTCATTCTGAGATTTCTGGAGGCAGGATCGCCATTTTGGACGGAGGTAGAAGTAAAAGCCAGTGGCTGGCTGCTTTGCTTTTCTGGTCTCCAGGTTGAACCCCAATATCTGTCTTTGAGCTTTTATTAATCATGCTTCAAATGGCACCCAATGTGGGGCAAGAATTTCCACATAAAACCTAAGAAAGTTTTTTTTTTTTTTTAAAGGATTCTAAACAGACAAAAGAACAGAATCAATCTTGGCTTCTTGGTAGCAGCATTGTCTCAGGTGAGCTCTGTTTGCTAGAGGCGAGCAGAGGCATGTCTCCTTTAAGAGAGGCTTCTTGACTCAGCCTTAGCAGCAAAAACTCTGCAGCTCTTTTAAGAGGCTCTGCCACCAAACATTTAAACGGTGTTTATGGGCAGCTCAGTGTCATGCTTCTTGGTAGTGGCATGGACTTAGAAATTCCACAGAGTTATGGTAATTAAATGTGACTCCTGACAGTCGCTCCACCATGAAGCTAGACTTTCAGGAAGTCAAGGAGCAGGGCGCATCCAGCTACCAAATCTGCAGTTTTAATCCTAGCCGTATCACTTCGCAAATTAAAGACTCATGTGGTCAGAAAAAGGTAAAGATATACAATAAAGACAGATTCAGATGGGAAAAAAACCTATAAGTGGTTTACAGTGTGTTTAAAAATATACTCTGGCTTGGGAGAGAAAAGAAAAAGGGTAGAGAAAGTCCTTTAAAAAAAGAAATAGAATAGCAGGGTGTGGTGGCCCACGCCTTTAATCCTGGCACTTGGGAGGCAGTGGCACACAGATCTCTGTGAGTTCAAGGCCAGCCTGGTTTACAGAGTGAGTTCTAGGACAGTCAAAGATAAATAGAAAAACCCTGTATCAAAAAAGCAAAACCTAAAAATAAAAATAGAGTTTTAAAAAGCCATCTAAATACGGAAGATACACAGAGAATCTGGATACTGTATGTTATTGTGTTGTTTTTGAATTGTTTGACTACTAAGGAAGGAGCAATAAGTACCAAAAGACATTTGATTATAAATGCTGCTGAATTAATGCAACCTTTATATTTTGAAAATGTCTTGACTTCAAAATTTAAGTAAGAAGATATGTTACTTTGGAGAAGAGGTTTTTTTTTGTTTGTTTGTTTTCACAGGCACTGAGAGGTTCTGGATTCATTTTGGGTAAAGAAAAACAAGGTTTGATCGAGGAAGACCCCCCCTGAAAAAAATCTCCAGTGGGAACAAATGACCAGATGATGCAACGTTTCAGAGTATCTCTGCTGGAGTTTCTTCTGAATTCTGTATCCAAAGCAGTTTTCAAGGCTGCTGGCTGAGACGATCCAGCCTCACAGAATACTCTAGTCATAACTTTATCATAATCCTAAATTTTCTTGGGTCCCTATAAGATTACCAGTGCCCCCAATCAACAGCAAGTAGCCAAGAAAACTACACCCACATTCCCAAAAAAATGGATTACGGGTGTTTGTCTTTGTTTAGAGTGCTGGTTACACGTAGTTATGGATAATGGTCAGAAAAAAGCTAAACAAACGTAATTAGATTCAAGGTTCTTGTTTTGAAAAGAAATAAAAGATGAAACAAATATGATAAGAAAAATGAGAGATTATTGAATCTACTCTGAAAAGGAAAAAAAGAAGGATGTAGATATGATAGGATAAAACGGTAGATTATTTAATCTTCTCTGAAAAGAAAAAAGAGAGAATACAGATATAAGATAAAAAGGTAGATTATTGAATCAACTTTTAAAAACAACTACTAGGTTTAAATGTTTTACATTGGATTAGACTTTTGCATATTGTATACAAATTTTGTATATTGATACAAAGTTGAAATTAATTTTGTTAAAACATACTGTGCATACATTTCTAATCTTGTCCAAGGTATTGTACTTATATATCTCATTTATCAATGTAACGCAAATTTTTAGTTCTTGAAAATTATTATTACCAACTGTTTAGGATAATAAGAAAATATAGGTTAATAGTTAATCACCTAGTATAATCGAACTTGTAGTCAGTCACATTAGGTGTTTTCAAGGACAAACAAAGATATATTTTAGATAGACAGGTCATCTTCAAACACTTCAGAGATCTACAGAATATGGCATTTAAGATGTTTTAATAACCTAGGTTCTTCTTTTTTGTGACAATGAGACATGTCTGCTCCTGGCAGCACCAATCTACTTCAGAGAAGATAATGAACATTGAAGAAATCCATATGAAGTTTACTTTCTTTGCGGCAAAAGTAAGCCACTACACAAGAAAATGTCCTTGCTTGGAACTACTGACGGTATGCTGTCCTGATTGGGCAAGCAGGCCATAAAAGAAAGTGACTGCCAAACCTTGTCAAGACAAGGAGGGACAGCCCTCCAGAATGTTCTGCTTTACAGAAAGATCTGTCATATATGCTAGGTCTCTAGGCTGAAGATAGAGATGCTCTAATATTACAGAGGAACTTTGGGCGACTGTCCAGGCAGCCAGCTATTTCTGTCCTTACGCACCTTTTTTGGAAGTCACTTGCTTGCACTTCTTGTTTACTCAGTTAATATTATTTCTTTCTTGGATATCTGAGGTAGTTGAAGGCTAGACAGTTCTGTCTTTCCTTGTAACCTGATGCAGAAAGCAAGTTATGATAGTAAATTAGGTACAAGACTTTGGACTCACCAAGATAGGATAGATATGGAATATTTTCTCTGAATTTCTCAAATGCAGGGCTAGACATTGTTGATGTATTTATTGCCTTATATATTGCATATAGTTGTTATATTTACTGCATATAGTTTTTGTTATATTAGTTATAGCCTTCTTTTTTATTTTAGACAAAAAGGGGAAATGTAAAGGCATCTCATTTGTTTTTTTAATAAATAAAGCTTGCTTAAGGATCAGAAAAGTAAAACAGCCACACTGGCTAGCCTTACAGACCAGGCAGCAATGATATATGCCTTTATTCCCAGTAGCCACACTAGTTGCTGTAGAAACCAGGTGGTGCATGTCTTTAATCCCAGTGGTGCAGGCCTTTAATTCCAGCCTTAGAGAGGATTATAAAATTGGAGGAAATAACTCTCAGTCACAGTTTCATTCTGAGATTTCTGGAGGAAGGATCGCCATTTTGGACTGAGGTAGGAGTAAGAGCCAGTGACTGGCTGCTTTGCTTTTCTGGTCTTCAGGTTGAACCCCAGTATCTATCTCTGACTTTTTATTAAATGTGCTTCAGTTTTGCCTGTTTACCACATGTGTGCCTGGTGCCTTTGGGGGCCAGAAGAGAGCATCAAATCTCCTGAGATTAGAATTACAGACATATGTGAGCAGTCATGTGGGTGCTGGGAAATGAACCCAGATCCTTTGGAACAGTAATCAGTGCTCTTAACTGCACACCTGAAAGTGATCTTTTTTTTTTTTTTAAAGTACCACATTTTAAAAAAAAAAAGGTGATTGAGGAAGATACCCAACATCAATGACATTGGTCTCTCTCTCTCTCTCTCTCTCTCTCTCTCTCTCTCTTTCACACACACACACACACACACACACACACACACACACACATATACTGTGCTGAGTTTGTTTATCTTCACTATATGACTACATTAATTCTTTACCTTTTTTTAAATTGGAGGTATTTGTGTTCCATGATGTATATGTAGTGATTAGAGGACCAGTTGGGGTACACCTTCCCCTGCTGTCTACTTAGGATTTCAATTGCTGTGGTGAAGCATCATGACCAAGGCAGCTGAGGAAGGAAAAGGTTTATTTGGCTTACCTCACAATTCACCATCCGAGGAAGTCAGGATAGGAACTCAAGCATGGTAGGAACCTGGAGGCAGAAGCTGATGAAAAGGCCATGGAGGGTGCTGCTTACTGGCTTGCTCCCCACGTCTTGTTCAGCTTACTTTCTTATAGAGCCCAGGACCACCAGCCCAGGGTGAAACCACCCACAATGAGCTGGGCCCTCCTCCATCAATCACTAACTAAGAAAATGCCCATAGGCTTGTCTACAGCCCCATCTTATGGAGGCCGTTTCTCAACTGGAGTTCTCTCCTCTCAAATGATTTTTAGATCATGTCAAGTTGAAAAAAAAACAAAAACAAACAGCAACAACAACAACAAACCCTAGCCATCATGCCTGCTGGGTCATCTTCCTAGTTGTGGTGTAGGGTTCTACAGACACTTCTCAGCTCCTGACCTTGTCTGGTCTTCTATTCTGTGTGTTCTATAGGAGGGGGAGAGAGAGAGAGAGAGAGAGAGAGAGAGAGAGAGAGAGAGAGAGAGGGAGGGAGGGAGAGAGAGAGAGAGAGAGAGAGAGAGAAAGAGAAAGAGAAAGAGAAAGAGAGAGAGAGAGGACTAAGTAAAAAAAAATAACAGAGAAGTAAACCATTTTAAGAGGGGAAAACATGTAAAACCCCACAGAGCTGCCATGCCCGCCGAGCCGTCTCTCACTCCCGTGTGGTATCTCACAGCCCTTGTTGACACACTGACATATTTTCCCCAGTCGCAATCAAAGCAATTGTATCATTTGCATTGTGGTTCCACTTAGTGTCTTCCCATAAACCTTTCCCCAGTCGCTATCCAGTCTCCATAATGATCATTTTTAATGTCTGTGTAATGTTC